ACGGTGGATGCGGAAGCAATTCGAAGCCCAATTCATGAATTTTTGCCATCGTTTTCACTGACTTGTGAGACGGTGCATTGTCTTGGTGAAGCAGGACTTTCTTTTTCTGCAAATGCGGTCGTTTCTCGGCGATTTCGTCCTTCAAACGGTCCAATAACGCTATGTAATAGTCGCTGTTGATGGTCCTTCCTTTTTCAAGGTAGTCAATGAAAATTATTCCACGCGCATCCCAAAATACAGACGCCATAACCTTGCCAGCCGACTGTTGCGTTTTTGCACGCTTTGGAGCGGGTTCATCGTGTGCAGTCCACTCCGATGACTGTCGATTGGACTTCGGAGTGAAATGATGGAGCCATGTTTCATCCATTGTCACATATCGACGCAAAAACTCGGGTTTATTACGCGTGATCATCTTCAAACACTGCTCTGAATCATCAACTCGTCGTTGTTTTTGGTCAAAAGTGAGCTCGCGCGGCACCCACCTTGCACAGAGCTTTCTCATACCCAAATATTCGTGAATGATGTGATTTATACTTTCCGTTGATATCTGTAGAGTGTCTGCTATTTCATTCAAATTCAATTTACGGTCATTCAAAATCATTTTGTGGATTTTTTTAATGTTTTCGTGCGTAACAGCCTCTTTTGGGCGTCCACTGCGTTCACCGTCTTCGGTGCTCATTTCACCACGTCTAAACTTAACATACCAATCCTTGATGGTTGATTTTCCTGGGGCAGTGTCCGGAAATTCGTTATCAAGCCAAGTTTTTGCTTCAACTGTATTTTTTCCCTTCAAAAAGCAATATTTTATCAACACGCGAAATTCCTTTTTATCCATTTTTTTCACAATAACAAAAGTTGCTTCACTAAAAATGCTATAATTCACAAACTAATGATCCGACAGCCGTCAAATTTATAGACGCGTCTTTTGAAGGTTAGGACTAACTGAAAATCATATGGATTTAGTTCTGGTGCCGCCATCTATGTGTCAGGCCGGGGACTTTTCAATTGACCCTATATGTATGTATAGGAATCAAGCTAGTCAACTAGATATATGCCCGTATTCAAACGAATTGTAGGTTCAAATTTACGAAGACGGTTTGCATACTTAATTGTCATTGGATTGCAAAATGTTATTACCCTGATATATTTAAAGTTCAGGAACCCGCGGTTATTTCATTCTTGATTATAAACATCACACAAATACAGACTCTACACCCTAAAACTTGGAAACGTATTCAATCTAGTGGATTCTTACTTCACAGCACACATACAAGATAAATCACGTCTATGCGAAACAAAGACAAAATTATCGGCTTATCTCAAGAAAATATACAATATAAAAACTTTCTCGCCAAAGATAACCAAGATACTAACTTCATACATAGTACATTATTAACATAGCAAATTAAAGACGTAGAAAAACTCCTTGGCATTCTATAACCATATTTTTCTGATGCTGTTAAAACCCGAACTAAGCTAAGATGGATAAATTTCGTTGGCTCAGTATTATATTATCTTTTTAGCGTTATGGATTCTAATGAGAATGAATAAATTAACACAACAATCAAGAATCTAACAAAAATACTCTCGACATCATACAAGAAACAAATACCATTATCTCTTTTTCAATAAGTACGATATTTTAATGAAACCATATAACCTTGTGTCAAACGAAAAACAAATTGACGAGCAAATAAAAAGTTGTAAATCACATAAATTTTAACAACATTAATATAAAGAAAGAACGAAATATAAATGAAACTATTCAGTGCCTCCTTTGCACTAGCCGAAGTCATTGAAGAGCACTGTTTATTAACCAAATGCATGCTTATATGCTCTATACTGTGGTAAAGAAAATCTGTTACCTCTTGAAATTCCTAAGGATATTAAATTAATACAAATTTCACAACAAGCAAACTCATTGTTTTTCGCCTTTTATTCGAACTCGAAAGATATCCTCAAATATCAACAATTAATTAAAACAAGTTTTTCCATAAAGTAAAAGAAAGCTAATTGCTTTGTTAAAATTTTCACTGGTCGATAAAAGTACATTCAGTACTCTTAAACTATTTTATATCCCATTTAAAAACAATATTCAAAATCACTACAATATAAGATATCCTGCGATATCCTGGTAACCCCGCTCGAGGACAATTATCTTCAACCTCTGGATAATTAACAATAGTTACTCTTATTTTCTAAATCTGCAACCTTCACTTACAAATGCCGGAAAATGACGATACAACAAGTCACGCTTTCAACTACTAGTATCCTACGTCTGGAGGGGAGTCTCTTTGCTCTGAATATACATCCAGTGAATTCAAAATCAAGTCACAAAAGAATCTCAGCAACATCACCAATTTGACCATGACCAGTATTCTAATCTCAAGACTGTTGCATCGAAGAAGAAAAAGAAACTGAGAAAATACCAATAAATCCTCTAAAGATGCACGACCTGAATCAAGAAAACTTACTTTTAAAAAAAACATCGACTGGAAAACCTTAGAGAAGATATTCTAAAAGAAAAATTAAAGCTTCTCCTTTCAATCACCTCCAAGAAATAGTATTGTTTTGTTGTTAGACTTTTAAACGTTATTATCATTGTAACATGTTGCTTATGAAAGAATTGTTGATTACCCTTTAGGATTAATCTTTTCTCATAGGGACGACCGAATTCTAGCATTAATGTTAACAACACAAACAGCCCAATGACTGTGATAAACAGACGCAAATGTCGATGCCAAATTAAAAGCCCTTTCTACTGATATAAGGTTTTAAAAATAAAGTAATCGATTTTTTCTGGAATGTGTATTCAGTATAATTAAGAAAATGTATACAATAGATGACCTTTCACATGATGGCTACGATGATCTCTTGTAGCTTCAGCAACACCTAAAGAATTATCAAATTTATTAAACCAAAAGTACTTTTCCTATAAAAGAAATATGTGGTTGTCCTATTCTTAAAACGTTTCAGAAGCATATCAAATTTAAAAAATTAGGATTGTCCATACATCTCACAATATTGCATAAGACGGTCATCTTCATTAGGCACTTGCACCAGATGAATCTTATACTGACGGAATCGATTTTCTTTTGTGTTTGCTCAAAACACTTATACACATTTGCCCAGGTAAAAATGTCGAGATAAAATTAATACCCGTATACGTTCTACTTTACTACATAATTGCAATAACCAACACTAAGTTCCTCGACGACATCGGTGCCGTTCTGTATATCTACCCATATCCCATATATAAGTTACGTTCCAACTTTCCACGGCGAATGGCTGCATATAGAACCACGACCACTAAACCTTGGACTGCGACGGAATTTCACCTGGAGGTTTGTGGTAGCTGACGTTACCAACCCCATCATCGGTGTCAATTTTTTAATACACTGAACTCCTGGTTGACGTTAAACACCAAAGACTGCTAGATCTCAAACAGCAAGTGAATAACTACTGGAAGCCCTTGGACTTCTTCAAGAAATTGAATCCAGCAGAAACTAAGTAAGGAGCGTACGACTGAGAACTCCTCGCTTTTTATTAAGCAGTGAAGCACTTCACGCATATGCTTGAAAGTCTATCATTCACAGATCACAAACTTATAACGTATGCTTTCCTGAAGAAAAACCAGCAGTTCTCACCACGTTAGTTATTAGCGAATTTACTACTGACATTCGACATATCTCTTGTGAAGAGAACGTAGTAGCGGATGCTTTGTTGTGGATCAAGGAAACTAAAAATCCACTTCTGAATTACAACGAACTAGCGAAAGCCCAGAAAGAAGACAAGGTGCTTCGGCAATACCTAAACAAACCTTCAGAGTTACAGCTAAAGCTAGTAAACCTGCCTAACACCTCAACAGCCGTCATCTGCGACCTGCTCACCACAACAGCTCACCCATTTCTTACCAATGACTTTCATAAAACAGTCTTTGGTGTAGTCCATCGGGTTTCTCACCCTGGTGCCAACGCCATGGTTAAACTGTGTGTGAGTTTAAGTGATGCCGTCGCTAAGTGTTGTAACATCAACACCTTTATTTTTTTGGAAGACCCTCTTATCGAGACATGAAAGTATTTATAATATCTTCAGAGTTTTTTAGATTATGTCCCTCCTGCCTTGCGCTACTACTTGATACTTCATTTTGCTAATTCTTATTAAATAATTAAAAAAGAATTTTTAGCCGATGGGGGATTTCAGCTCCCTAAATTTCCCCACCGCGGCTACGCCACCGTTTCACCTTGACTTTAGAAAGATACACATTTCACCACCTTGTCGTTTCTTTACAATTTATCATTGACTTAAATTTAAGCTAATTCGATTTTTTATATACAGACACATAAATAATTTATTAATTAAGTGGGAGGAAGAGAATTTGACAAATGGTTTAGCAAATATGTTTGTTTAATTTCAGTTGGCCGTTACTAAACTCATTTTGGTTTTTATATTTGTTAATTTCCGTACTTTCTATTGCGACTTTTTTTTGTAATCAAATATGTTGCGTAGTTGAAGTCATCTTTAGTTAGTTTGGTTTATACTCATTTAATAAAAGACTAAAAATTGACTCCATTGCTTAGGATCCTATGGTTACGTAAGAATAAGACATCATGAACTAATGTGTTGGTTTATTTTTCTACAAGGTTATCCGTAGCCCGCTCCATCCCAGTATCCCACTCCGACCAGCTGCTCCTTCACGTGTCCGCACCAACTAAAACGCTCCTATTGTTTTCTACAAGCTCAACCCCATGCTTCCCACTTATTCTCTCTCCTATATTAGAATTTTTTGACGTGATGATTGGAACTCCAATTCTTAATATTTACCTTACCATTTTCATCCACGAATACTAGTCCTAGAAGGCAACCATTATCTGTTGTCATTATTAATGTTTTTATTGATTTGACTTTGCATTATGTACCTACCCATTTTCTGTGCGATCGTGGAAAGTGAGACTTAAGGTTAAATTTAGCAAAAATATAATAAACAAATTATTTTTCAGGCAAATGTGGTTTGAATTGGGTGAGATATACTGTGGAATTTTAGATATAAAAATGGAAAAAATTAGAGAGTGTAAAGGACGACCTTCTGCTCACGCTTTAAACAAAATAAATCATCTTGTCGAAAAAAGTATACAACATTATACGTCGTTTACAGATTCATTTAAAGAAGTAACAAGTCAAGATTTATCCAAATGTGTAGATAAAGATTTACAGAAACCGTTCTTACAAGCACTGTTTCACATCGCAGCTCTATGGAGTCGATTTATTACATTAGACAAGAAGGTGGGCCTAGAAAACATAAATAAAAGTAACGAGTTTTATAAAAAAGTGATTGATTATTGTGAAGCAAATCCTGAAGTAGGACAAGCTATTTCTGCCGAATTAAGCGTATGTAAAGAAATGGTCAACCTTCTTCCAGTAAAAATTATGAAGCTTCAACAAGAAATTCCGTAAACTGTTTAAATTACAATTTACGAAGTGATCTTTTATCATAATTGTAAAATTTAATCTTATAAAAATAATAGTTAATGTAAGCACTTATTTGTATGCTTTCAAATACTAAAAAGACGAACCCAAATTGCGAACTGATCGAAAGTATTACAGTAAAGCAGATATTTGTAATTGTTGTACATTTTTTTTAATTAAACGTTGACGTTAAGGCTTATTCTACTCACACATTACGTAATCTTATTTTTTTTTAATTCCTATTCTGTAGAATAACAATTTTAATGTCCAATTTAATTAATGTGTTTGTTATTTATATAACGTGTATTCGTGAAATAATAAATAAAACGGACTCGTTTAAAATTGTATTTTCCTTCAAATAAATTTGAATATTGTGAGATTTCAGTCTTTCGCGATTGTTTACTTATATCTGTATTTTTATTATTGTTATAGACTAATAAACAGTAAAAAGCATACCTATACGACTGCCAATTGAATATATGCATGAATTTGAATTCCAATCTTTCGTAAGTTTTTTTCTTTTTTTTTTAATTAATTTTAAAATTCAGAAACTAAAAGTGAATGCATGAATAAAGAAAAACAAACACTAAGTAAAGTACAATATTTATTGTACCACAATACACATTTTACCACATAGTAGATTCCTCAATTGGAAGAAGAAATAGTACACTTAAACTTACCTAACAACAAATTCACTTAAACACTAAAACCTAGGAAAGGGTAATCGCTAAAAAGTAAACCATTTAATTAAATTGGTTCTTGGTCGTTATTAAATTGACAAAGGAGAATGGGGTTGTGAACAAAATAAAAAATAAATAAAAAGGCGACCGCAGAAGATACAAATTATAACGGACATAACAGTAATTCCCTTTATGGGGATGCCTAAAAACGAATTATTTAGGCATTTAGGGTAATAAACAGTACCGTCTTTACCATAAGGGCACACGAGGCCCTTGCCCAGGGCCCCCGTCCTCACGAGGGCCCCGGATGACCGATATTATTTGCTTACATTACTCTTTTTTTCTGAATGCAGAATGCACCCTAATTAATTACACTGCAACAACATCTAGCGATCATCTATACAAACCACTTCGATTCCAAAGTCGATCTTGTACCTATAACGTTTACTCATCAAAACAGATGTCGATGTTGTCTATGGCTGGGGAATCCCCAAATGATATGTGAAACTTCAAGTCGTGCAAATTGGCGTAATTTAGTATTGTTTTATAAAAATTAAGTAAGACAATAGAAGTTATAACTTTGACGTGATCGTTTCGTTAACAAATAATTTCATTATGTCGAAAAGAACATATTTAAGTAGTTCACAAAAAAGAAAAAGAGTTGTAGCTAAAAAAGAAGTAACCGAAAAGCTTCCCAAGCTGACTTCATTTTTTATGGTTGAAGAAACAAACAAACGGACTAATGGGACTGATTCTTCATCCCCATCACCTCAAAATCAAAATACTTCTAAATATCAACAGGAAAAAGAGCTTATGTGTGAAGAAAATGACAAACACACATCAGACGCTGAACCCTCCACATCAAGCTACTGTGAGTTAATAGCTGCAAGCTTGGAGAATGTATCTCCAGGTCCTGATCCTGGTACGTACCGTGATGAAATTTTAACGGAAGAAGTACGCGATATTTGGATTCGGAAAGGGCCAGAGTTTTCCAAAATAAGAATTGTGACTTTTCCGAATCTTCTACAAGTTTTCCAGATTTAAGTGGTAAAACAAAAATTAGACACTTGACTAAAAATATATTCACTCGTAAATTGATGAATGGGGAGTCTATAGAAAGAAAATGGCTCCTTTATTCACTGTCGAAGAAATCTGTGTACTGTTATTGCGGTCTTCATTTTAATACGAGTGCTGGTACTGGACATAATTTGAGTTCTCCAAATGCATATAAAGACTGGAAGCATATTAGTAACTTAGTAATGAATCATGAGAACAGTTTACAGCACAGGTAATACATGATTAATTATGTCGCAAGAAGCAAATATACTGGACGAGTTGAATGTACTTAGAAGAATTGTTGCAGTAGTGAAATTTTTTGCTTCAAGAGGTCTTGCTTTTCGTGGTGATAGTGAGATATTGGGGTCTCAAAATAATGGGAATTATTTGGGATGCTTAGAATTGATTAGTGAATTTGATCCTTTTCTTGCTGATCATATAAAAAACTGCGGAAATGTGGTAACTGTCTATGTAGTTTACCGTTTATGCTATAGTATCCAGGAGCTTTTTTATTTTGCAGGTGTTTTATTATGTACTGTTTCTTTAACTGTCACTGCTTCGATGTTAGTATTGTCAGATTGGATGTGTATGTCTTTCAGAAGTTCTGCTTCTTCTTCAGGGATAAGATTGGATTGAGCAGGTTAGAATACTTTAGAGCAGGCCTGGGCAAATGACGGCCCGCGGTAGAACTTTTTCTGGCCCGTGAAGCATTGTATATATTATTATTAAAAACACAAATATTAGTTTTTGTCTAACATAAATTGGTGCACAAAAAATTTTAGATAAAATATTAAGCAATACTTATAC